CTCCACCCAGATGACACCCACCCACCATCACCAATCACCATGACCCACACCCTCAGCCACACCCCCACTCAGTGTCAAAATAGCCTCCTTCCTGGTTAGAAGCATCTGAGCAAAAGAGTTACATCAGAGTAGGCAGTTGCACCCAAGTAATAGAGCCAATTACAGGCTCAATCGACATCAGAGAGGCAACATCAACGTGGCAGCGTTAGTGGTGTGTAAACATGGCTGAGCGGGCATGGTGATGGACAGAGTCCCCCTGGATTGGCTGACAATGGCAAGTTGACTGTATATGAGTTGGCCATGACATGTTGCCTATGTTGAGTTGGCCATGGCAGATTGTCATAGAGCAACTCCTAAGAGCTTCCTCAGACAGCAGTATTGAAGTGCTGTCATACAGACTTTGAGGAGGTAGAAAGGTACGTTGGCATACTTGGCATTGCTGCCCTCACTGTAGATATGTACTTTGCCTTGATAAGGGTGTAAGACTGTCCTTACTGGTTTAATTCAGGACAAGTTAGGAAATTGATCGGTGAGTTCCATAAGCTTAATTTGCTGTTCTACCACATCTCACCAGCCAAAAAGGATAAACATTCACCATCATTCTCTTTAGCATAGGCTGAGGCTGAAAGAGCAGGCGTATTTTGATAGATGACCAGAATGGTGGATTTAGCCATGTGTCAGAATATGTTTCCTTTTTCACAAGTATGTATGTTCAAATGAAGCCCATATCAGCTGGATATGGCTTTCAATCTTGAATAACAGAGCTGGAAGGGACCTTGAAAGTCTTCTAGTCCAATCCTCTGCTGATGCAGGAGATCCTATACCATTCCCAACCAGTGGCTGCCCAATTTCTTCTTAAAAGCCTCCAGTGATGGAACACTCACACCTTCTGAAGGCAAGTCCTTCCACTGGTTGCTTGTCCTCTCACCATTAGGAAATTTCTCCTTAGTTCTAGGTAGCTTCCCTCCTTGATTAGTTTCCATCCGTGGTTCCTTGCCTTACCTTCTGGTGCTCTCGAGGACACGATTCCAAAAATAATCCTAAAATACCATTTCTGGGATGGCTACTCCAGAATTGCATTATTTTGTAATGACACTATATCTGGGCAAAGCATGCTCTTTGTTTGACAGCCTGTTTGCATCAGGCAAAGAAGAAACTTTCTCCCCACCCCAATTTCCTGCTGCCCAAGCCTGAGATCCAAATAAACACTTCAAAGTGTGAGCTCCTTTGAATTTCAGGAAGGATGGTTTCAGCAACAGAAAAACATCCCAAGGGTGTAGAATTGCAAAATGAGCACGAAACATACATATGCACCCCCTCTCTGTATCTCTCTCTCTCTCTCTCCTAAACAGATCTACTGTTCTTTCAGAAAAGTGTTATTCGAGTGTTTATAAAGAGCTCACATCACACTGTGTGTGTGTCTCTCCATCTCCTCTCTGTCTTTCTCTTTCTCTGTCTCTCTCTCATATAAACAGATGGACTATTCTTTCAGAAAAGTGGTACACATGTGTTTATAAAGAGCCCATAGAACACTCTGTGTGTGTGTGTGTGTGTGTGTGTGTGTGTGTGTGTGTGTGTGTGTGTGTGTGTGTGTCAGAGAACTCTAGTCAAGCACTAAGCAAGGACATCCCTTTGCACAGTGGTGGGTTTCAAAAATTGTTCAAACCTACTCTGTGGGTGTGGCCTCCTTTGTGGG